GACTATACAGCATTCAACCTGCTAAATTCATACTACATCAGAATCACTTATCAATTATGTTTGCAACAGTAGTTAGACAAGGAACAGCGAAGTTGGTAGTGTGATTTCCAGCAGCAACAGAAGTTTCAGCCCATGAAAGATAACAAAGAAGAAAAAGATGTTTCTGAATACTGTATGTCTTAGTGGCATATCCTGAGTTGATGAGAATGTATCCTCAAACCTTCAGTTCCCAGAAAATTTCTGAGCCAAGGCCTGAGCCCTGGATAATTTCCCTCAAAACCTGAATCTCAGGGTCAAAGCCCATGACCTGACATGCTATATACTGCTGCTTTTTAATGTCACCTGTGAAGAATACTCATATATGCCCAACAGTGCAAGACATGAAGAATTTATCTTTAACACTGATTCCACACAATAAGGGAAGGGGAAAAAATCCTGTTTCAACTGAGGTGGAGTTGCAATCTTAATTGTACCAAATTCTATAGACATAGTTGTGTCTGTTTTTGCTGCAATACACCATGTCCTACGATATCCTGAAGACTAACAGATGTACTGTGGCATAAACTTTCACGGATCAGATATATGAAGTAGGATCACACTTTATAAAATGAGTTCTGGTTCAGGAAAGCTTATAACACAATACATTTATTGTTCTTCAAGGTGCTATGTAACACTGCTGTTAGAACTACTATCCCGTAGTCCACATTGATTAAATTACTTGTACAGTATCTGAAATATTCATGTGAAACAAACCTAAATTAATATATCTGTGCACAACTGCACTGTCAGTTACAAGATTCTTGCAGATGAAGAGATAATTCAATGCACAAGAGTGGCAGGGAAAAAGCAAAGTGATTGGGAGGCATGCTAGAAACAGCCCTAAATTAAACCAGATGCAACTATAGGAAAGATCTGTAGTATCTATATCATTTTGAGCAATGTTGACTGATGAAATTTTGCTTGCTCCGGCTATTTTGATATACCTATACACCAACCTTTCTCGGTCCTCATTCTGTTGAAGTACAAGAGCAATGAATTAATAACTGAAATTTCCTGTAATTTCACAGCATTCAAACAGATGTAGATGTCTCAATCTTTTTAAGAGTACAGTACGCACTGATCATGAAGTGTATACAGTATATAGCCACTTTGGGAAAGCATTTATAAATGTGTTGGTAGCTGCAATGAGAAAGCATCTAGGCAAATAAAGAACTAAGCCCTATCATCTAAACAGGCATCAGATGGTTGTGTAGGCGACCAAGAGCAAGGTGTACCTTTGTACCTCCCCAGGCCAAAAGGGGAATGTTTCATAGCAACACGGTACCAAGGGCATTGTATTTCCATTTACAAATAAATGCACTTAAGGTTGCTACCAGGCAGCTTCAACCTATGGCTCTCCTATAATCACAGCACAAACAACCACTTGGTAATCACTACTGAACTTTTACTCCTGGAGAAAAAGAATATTAAATCACACTGGTTTCTCTTTCATTTTAGCTAAGAAGACACAATTACTGTATCTCTTCCTTAATAGCACTGAACTGGATAAAGGCAAATGTATTGGTATGAATGACTATTAACAGCTGATAGTGAACAAGAGCCGTTGTTGTAGCTTAGATGCCTAACTCTTAGCTTTCTTAAGAGCAGTAGGACCTATGGTTTTCATGGCTACACCATGGTTTAAGGGTTAAAAAATTATACCATGGTTTAAGGGGTTCAAAGATTTAAAAATAGATAGGTAAAACAAATAAAATCAAAGTGGCTTGCTAAACACAACAGAAACAAATCTGTTATTCCATTTCATGTAAAATGCCTGTACCAGAAAGCAACACCCAATGAAATTTCCACAAAACACATTGAAATACTAATTACAGGCAAATGTTTTTCCCCAGTTCCAGCACTTTGTTGACTGATCAGTCTAAGGTTTTCTAAGGGTCCATGTTGCATGTAGGTATATTGTACTACTTTTCAAAATAGGTAGTGCAGACAAGGGTGTCCATGTGTGCATGTATGTGTAATTGCCAAAATAATAATATATTTATTTATATTATATTGTACATTGTATTGAAGGGTACATGTTATACATGGGAATAACACTAACACACCATTGTGTAGCTTTGCATACACATACACAAACAGAGAAAAATTCCTGTAGACACTCTTCTGTAGACTGTAGATAAAGACAGCCCACAATACCTAACTTTGCAACCTTGGAATTGCCCTCATGTCTTAGGTCAAACTATGCATAACCATACAACTGCAGATAACACAGATCTTTCTAGAGTCCTCTTTCCTTTGTAGACAAACTTCAGGAAAAGCCAACATATGGTATAGTAACTGCAAGAAGAGGAAACCCTTTCAACCAAACCACTCATGCTCCCTTTTTCCAGAGATTGTTGAAAACGAACCTCACACAAAAGATAATTATTTTAGTAACATCTGCATCCTTGGATATCTACAGTAAAACTGACAATTTAAATAACTCTGAAATGTATCCTAATTTTCTTGTATTTAAAATTACTTCCTGGATGATACACATTTGATTATTGTCAGAAAAAAGTTGACTAAAAATATATTTTTCAAAAACCTCAATGTCCGTTATGTTACAACTTCACATTTTAACCTTTTCTTTTAAAGAAGTAACATGGGGATTAGTATGGGGAAGTAAACTCAAAGAACATAAAGTGACCAATCATACAAAAAGAGCTCAGTTCAGTGGAATGCTTGCTATACTTATTTATTTATTATTTACACTTGCTCCAGTCCTTTTTATTCAAAACAATTACTCTTTTCTATGGATATCTCCCTGATAAAATAACTCAAAAAAATGATTCATATAGGAAGTTCTGTTCTGAGTTAAACTAAAATATGATACACTATACAGAATTTATTTCAGTTTTACATTTTGAATCATTACCAAACATAACTGGGTAAATTATTTTATTACTAATAATGCCAATTTTATGGTATATCTTTTTTTTAAAAAAAGAGAAGGAAAAAACTCAAAATAAAAGCTAGAACCTAATTGTTGAAGCTTACTTTTGGCAGTGTGTCATTTGTGACCAATATAATGCACTGATTTGTTTTCACATTTATGGGACAATTCAGCGGGGATTTCTCGTGTACAGACCCTACTAGAATAAATAATAGTTCCACAAAAAAACTAACACACTCCGTTCCATCTCCTCAACTACTACAATATTCTCTTCTTGCTAGTGATATCCTCTGGGCTTCTGCAAAACAAACAAACAACCCTTTCTAATGCATTTTCCTCTTCACAGTCACTGGGACATTTCTAGGAAGGCTCCAGTGACTCTTTTGGCAAAGTACATAATATTCACAAAGTGCTGTTTTTTCCTCTCTTTGTTTCTGCCAGTCCTCTATGATTTGGGAGAACAAATTTATACAAATATGCGAAAGACTAAATGAGAGCAAAATTTAAACAAACATACCTTTACAAACTGTATGTGGAAAATCCACCTATAATAAGGGCATCACAGCTTTCAGCATATTCTGTTGTTTGGATAAAATCTAGCATACCTACACAGATTTTTGTCAATCTCTCATTCTTAACCTCCTAAACAAAATAAAATAATGCTTTTTATCCACACTTACAGCTACAATTAAAACATGAAACAAAAAAGCAAAAACAAAAACAAAAACACCAGACTCAGAAGGTTTATAGTAATGAAATATATACAATCGCTCATTCATAGGATCCCCATAAGTCTGGGGCACTTGACAGCACATAACAACAAAAAGCCCCACAAACTGCAAAATATGTTGAAAGAAGCCATGCCTAGAAGAGCTCACATACATTACTTTATCAGAAGATGGGTTTGAATGAAACACCTCTTCCCCTTTTCACATAAAATCTTGGTCATATCTTTATTTAACGAGGTCTATTTGTCTAGCTGCACATCCACTATCCGCCCCCCCCCCGCCAGTCTCTGGCATAGGAAAAAAGAAAGTAACACGAGAGCTCAGATCCCCTCTCCTCATTTTATCGCCACCTCCTCCTTGCATAATGAAGAGGGGACACGGGCGGGTCGTGGGGGGAGAAGGCTATTGGCAACACCATTACTTTCTCTCGGTAGTTCCGTGCGATAACTATGACTAAGACAACAGCGGTTGCAAAACAGTAAACACACACACACACACACATTCCACACACGAACCACAGGCTGGAAAAGGCAGGCACGTCCAACATCCTGAGAAGCAGCAGTGATTGCTCGCCCGATGGTCGTGCTAGGAGCGACCAAGGTCTTCATTCACGCCCTCTCTTTCCAATTATTATCATCTTGCATAGTATTCTCTCTCTCTCTCTCTCTCTCTCTCTCTCCAGGCTTTGCAATACTGTACTTCTTACGCTACCTTGCCTGTTCAACGGATGGTGGGGAGTGAGTGGTTGTTCCCCGCTTCAAAAAAACAACAATCATAACCACCACAGCAGTTCAGAATTGGGGTTTTAAACCCCGGACCCCCCAAAAAAGAGAGAGAGAGTGAGAGAGAGATTTCATCAGAAGTC